TAGCTAAAGGCTTGTCAGTTTTGTTTATATTTTCAAGGAACCAACTCTTGCTTTCATTGATCCTTTCTGTTGTTTTTGAAAGTCTCCATTTCATTTACTTCTGCTCTGATCTTTATTATTTCCTTTCTTCTACTAATTTTGGGTTTGTATGCTGTTCTTTTTCTAATTTCTTGAGGTGTAAAGTTGTTTGAGATTTTTCTTGTTTCTTGATATAGGTATTTATCATTATGAACTTCCCTCTTAGAATTGCTTTTGCTGAATCCCATAGGTTTAGGTTTGTTGTATTTCTTTTTTTTTTTTTTTTTTGTCTCTAGGTATTTATCTTTTGATTCCTTTGTGACCTATTTTTTTTTTCAGTAGCACGTTGTTTGATCTCCATATGTTTGTGAATTTTCCAGTTTTCTTAGCATTGATTTCTTTTTTTTTTTTTTTAAAGATTTTATTTGAGACAGAGAGAATGAGAGAGAGAGAGCACATGAGAAGGGGGAGGGTCAGAAGGAGAAGCAGGCACCCTGCCGAGCAGGGAGCCCGATGTGGGACTCCATCCCAGGACTCCAGGATCATGACCTGAGCCGAAGGCAGTCGCTTAACCGACTGAGCCGCCCAGGCGCCCCTTAGCATTGATTTCTAATTTCACGGTATTGTGGTCAAAAAGATGCTTCATATGATTTCAATCTCAAATTTGTTAAGCCTTATTTTGTGGCCTAATGTATGATCCATATGGAGAATGCTCCATATGCACTTGAGAAGAATGTATTCTGTTGCTTTTGAATGGAACGTTCTGTATGTATCTGTTATTTCCATCTGGTCTAATGTGTGGTTTAAGGTTGATGTTTCTTTGTTACTGATTTTCTGTCTGGATGATCTATCCATTGATGTAAGTGGGGGTACTGAAGTCTCCTACTCCTGTATTTCTATTTCTCTTGTTAGATCTGTTAATATTTGATTTATGTATTTAGGTGCTCTTATGTTGGTGCCTAAATATTTGTAAGTGCTATATCCTCTTTTTGGATTGACCCCATTGTCATTATGTAATGCCTTTCTTTGTCTCTTACTACAGTCTTTCTGTTGAAGTATTTTGTCTGAGGAAAGTAGAGCTAGCTACCCCAGCTTTCTTTTGGTTTCCATTTGTGTGGAACATCTTTTTCCATCCCTTCACTTTCTGTGTGTGTTCTTATATCTGAAATGGGAGCATGTAGATGGGGCTTGTTTCATTTTTATCTTTTCAGCTACTCTCTCGCTTTGGATTGGTGAATTTAATCCATTTACAGTAATAATTGATCCATATGTGCTTGTAGCCGTTCATTATTTTCTGGCTGTTTTTTAATTCTTTTTTTTCCTACTTCTCTTGCTCACTTCCTTTGTGGTTTGATGAATTCTTTAGTGGCACGCTTCCTTTCCCATTATCTTTTGTGTAGCTACTATATAGCTTTTTGCTTTGTGGTTACCATGAGGCTTACAGATAACGACTTACATTCATAGTAGCCTTTTTTAGGTTTATAACAACTTAAGTGTGAACGCATTCAAAGCTGTGCATTTTTATGCTCTGCCCCCGTTTTACGTTTTGCCAGTCACATTTTACCAGTCACATTTTACATCTTTTTATCTTGTGCGTCCCTTAGCTTATTATTATAGTTGCAGTTTTCACTACTTTTGTCTTTTAACCTTTACACTAGCTTCACACTTGACTCATATACTTCTTTAATATATGGTTGCCTTTACCAGTGAGATTTACACTTTTATACGTTTTCTTGTTACTAATGAGCAACTTGCCCTTTGTTTTTTCCCAGCTTACAGGTGTCCCTTTAACATTTCTTGTAAGACCAGTTGAGTGGTAATGAACTTTTTTATCTCGTGCTTGTCTGGAAAACTCTTTATCTGCCCTTCAGTTATGAATGATAACTTTGTCAGATAGAGTATTCTTGGTTGGAGGTTTTTTCTTTCAGCACTTGGAATATATCATGCCACTCTCTGTGGCCTGCAACATTTCTGCTGAAAAATGTGCTCATAGTCATATGGGGTCTCCTTGTATGTAATAAGTGATTTTTTTCTTGCTCCCTTTAAGATTCTCTCTCTCTTTTTTTGTTTAACTTTTGACATTTTAATTATAATTTGTCTTGGTATGGGTCTCTCTGCGGCATTCATTTCATTTGGAATTCACAGTCCGTCCTGGATCTGTATGTCTTTCCTTCCCCAGGTTATTGAAGTTTTCAGTTACTTCTCCAGAGAAGTTTTCTGGCCCTTTCTCCTTCTGGGATTCATATAATGTAAATGTTAGTCTGCTCAGTGTTGTCTCAGAAGGCCCTTAAGCTATCTTCACTTTGTTTCATTCTTTTCTCTTTCCGCTGCTCTGTTGGGTGAGTTCCTCTGTCCTGTCTTTGAGTTCATTGGTTCTGCTTCATCTAGTTTGCTGTTGAACCCCTGTAGGGTATTTTTCAGATCGGTTTTTGTATTTTCAGCTCTGTGACTTCTGTTTGCTACTTTCTTACATTTTCTCTTTTTGTTGAAGTTCTCACTGTGTTCATCCATTCTGCTCCCAAGTTTGGTGAGCACCTTTATGACCATTACTTTGAACTCTTTATCAGATAAATTACTTATCTCCATTTCATTAAGGTTGCTTAAGAGTTTTATCTTACTTGTTTGGAATGTAGTCCTCCGTTCTTCATTTTGCTTGACTCTGTTTGTGTGCATTAGATGAAATAGCATCTCCTCCCAGTCTTGGAGGGTTGGCCTTGTGTAGGAGATGAAACTTATCCTTCAACCCTGTCCTAGCTCTTGGCTGTTTCTCAAACTTTTATAATTATCCAAGCAGCCTATTTTATTTTTAAGAGTTCCCAGGACTTCAGAGTATGCCAGGCCCAGTTAATGTCCCAAAGGAGAGGATCTCATTCAGCACCTACATTCAGGTGATGGGAAGCCAGACCCTCAGGCAGCAGCTTTTAAAGAATGAAAATATGTATAGTCATATGGGACTGCGAGTGTAAGTCCCGCTGACCCTCACAGCCAGGTAATATGGAGGTCTCCCATAGGTCGTAGTCGCAAAAATCAGGACTGGAGCATATAAGCTCCTTTCTGAGAGATGCTGGTGCACTATCGTGAGGTAGAAGAGAGCACGGAGATAGCATCCCCTGGCCTACCTTCCCTGAGAGCAGCTCTGGAGCTTCTAGACCTGTGCCTAACTTGAAGACTGCCCCTCAGGCCAGAGCTCTAGGACAAGCCATTAGGCCTCTTTCCCAGAACGGCTGGGGGTGCTCCAGTCTGCTGTCTGTGCAGTGCCCTGCGGGTGGGAGCCATCTAAGAACTATCTCTGAAGGCTACAGTCTTGTGAGCGCCCCCCCCCTCCCCCCCGCTGAACCGAAGCCCCCTGGCCACCAGAGCCAGGTGATTGAGGGTTATCCCCTAGGAGGCAGCCCCCAAAAAGCAGGGTACCCGATGTCAAAACTGGGGCACGAGACACGTATACAAGTTCCCCTCCGAGAGATGCTGGTGCTGTAAAGCACAGCAAAAGAGAGGATGAAAATATTGCCTGCCCTCCGAGGTCTCAGGAAGGGTTTCCAGTTAGCCCCTAGGTGCATGTTTAATTAGAAGCCTGCCCCAGCAGCTGCACCAATGATGATAGCTAATGGGCCTCTTAGGCAGAGAGACTGAGCTCCTGAGCCTGTTGGCTCTTGCTGTGCCCTCGGGATGGTCGCTGGTTAAGAACTCCTTCTCCGTTGGTTACAGTTTTGTAGGACCTGTGAGCATCAGTCCCACTGGCCACCAGAGCCAGGTGATAGAACGAAGTCCCCTGGCAGCAACTGCAAAAATCAGGGCATCGAACAAAGGGCATAAGCTCCATTCTGGAAGATATCAGTGAGCTGGATGAAGCAGAGGGAGAGTGCAAAGGTGATGTGCACTGAGCTCCATTCCCTCCATTCCCTGAGAGCTCTTCTGCAGGCTCCTGTAAGTGTGCCAGACCAGAAGCCTGCCCCTTGGGCCAGAGCTGCTGCACAAACAAATAGGCCTCTCTCTCAGAAACTGGGGATGTGTTTCAGTCTGTCCCTTTGTGGTGCCCTGGGAGTGGTAGTGTCCCGAGAACTGTCTCTCCAGTCGTTACAGTCCTGGGGACCCAGGAACGCAAGCCTCCCTGGCCTTCAGAGCCGGGTGATCAAGGGATCATCTGAAAAATGGATCACCAGTAAACACTGGGGCACCAAATGTGAATAGACACTTTCCTCCAGGAGCTACTGGTGCTCTGGAGCACAGCAGAGGGGGAGCCAAAGATTGTGTCCAGTGGCTGGAGTGAGGCAGAGGGGGTGAACAAAGATGGCACCCACTAAGAAAAGGGGGGAAAAGGAAGAGGGGGAGAAAAAAAAAAGATGGCGCAGAGAAGAAGATGGCGCCCACCACCTCCATCCCTGGAGAGTATCCCTCAGTCCAGCACTTTAAAGTTTGGAAATGAGTCCCTTTCGCATAAAGTCTGGGCACTTTTGAAGGGCTGCTTCTGCACTAGGCCTTGGGGTGAGTGAGTCTGCACGTAAGCCCTTAAGAGCCCTTCCTCAATTTGCCACGGCCCAGCTGGTCTTCAAAGCCAGATGTTTCTGAGGCTCATCTCTTAGGTGCAGGCCTTAAAAGTTGGGGTACCTAACGTGAGGTATGAATCCTTTGCTTTCAGGGAGAAGCCCCGGGTTTTGAATTCTCCCAATCGTAGGTTGTTGCACTGGGGGTGGGGCTTATGGTGAAATTGTGTCTCAGCCTTTCCCACCTGCTTTGGTGTGGTTTCCATCTCATTTGGTGAAGGAGTCAATCTGCCGGGTTGTAGGTTTTTTTCAGATGAAATCGTTCCAAATATAGCTATAGATTTGGTGCTCTGTGGTGTGGAGGGAGTTTGGGATCATCCTGCATTGCCACCTTGAACCAGAACCAGTTGTTTCTCTAACAGTGCTCTATACGAAATTAGTATTTGCTGACTGTCACTGAAAACATGCATTCATACTTGTTTTATTAATTTTTGACAATAGGAGTTTATACAAGAAATAGAAACTTTCGGCTGTATAAATCATCGAAGATAGGAAAGCAGGTGGCTTTGGAGATTGCTGAAGACAACAAATTTTTTCCTAAACGGTCCAAGAATATTTCTGAAGAAAACCAGTATTTCCTATCTTCTTTGGTCAGCAATGTCAGGTATATAGTCCCAGAATCAAACCATTACGTATTCATGAATGCTCTTTAAACAGTGATAGGCGTTGTATAGTACCAACATGTGAATTGTGTAAATTCATTCTAACTTAAGAAAATGAAAGTTCTTAAAATTCCAGGTTAACTTTTTTCTTTCATCCATTTGGAAATAGAGTTACTATTAATATCTACTTTTCATGTATGCACATTCATACATATAATTTACGTACCTCCTTCATTCAAAGAATATTTTTTGAGTTCATTATTTATGTGGTTATGTCAGTTGTTTTATCCACTTAACATTATATCATGAATATCTGCCAAGCTAATAATTTGCAACAGTTAGTTGTAATTAAAACTTTTAATGCCTATATGGTTTTCCCTTATACTGATAAACTCTAATTTGTTGTCAGTTTTGTTGTTGAACACTTAAGTTGCCACGCTTTGGTCATTTTTAAAAAGTGTGAAAGACCCCTTTCAACAGAAACGTTTGCCTCTACTTCCCTATATCTGGGCTGGCAAATTTTGTTAGTCCCAATCACGTGTTTAACGATCAGACTAAATTGCCTTGCTACATTAACTTGCTCTACTTCTTTTTCCTTGGCCTTTCCTAGATCGAATTCTCAGGAGAAATCCCATAGAAATAAATGTTAATAAAATATTTAAAATACTTCACTGGAGGGGAAGTTGTGTCCAGATGTCCACTTGGCAGCAGTTACCCAGGAGGGTGGGAAGACAGGTGGTTTTTCGTCATGTTATTTCTGTCATAACATTTTTCAGAAGTAATGTCAAAGTCTTCACTTCCTTACCTTTTATTTTTTTATTTTTTATTTTTTATTTTTTTTTAAAGATATTATTTATTTATTTGACAGAGAGAGACACAGCGAGAGAGGGAACACAAGCAGGGGGAGTGGGAGAGGGAGAAGCAGGCTTCCCGCGGAGCAGGGAGCCTGATGCGGGGCTCGATCCCAGGACCCTGTGATCATGACCTGAGCCGAAGGCAGATGCTTAACGACTGAGCCACCCAGGCGCCCCACTTCCTTACCTTTTAAATGGAAATGATATCACCCCCTATCTTGGGGAGTGGTGAAGATTGAGTAAAAACTGTACACATAGGGGCGCCTGGGTGGCTCAGTCAGTTAAGCGTCTGCCTTCGGCTCAGGTCATGATCCCAGGGTCCTGGGATCGAGCCCCGCATCGGGCTCCCTGCTCAGCAGAGAGCCTGCTTCTCCCTCTCCCGCTCCCCCTGCTTGTGCTCTCTCGCTCTGTCAAATAAATAAAAATGAATTTTTTTTTTTTTTATAAAGGATACAAGTGTTGTTTCTTTTTTTTTTTTTTTTTAAGATTTTATTTATTTATTCATGAGAGACAGAGAGAGAGAGAGAGGCAGAGGGAGAAGCAGGCTCCCAAGGAGCAGGGAGCCCGATGGGGACTCGATCCCAGGACGCTGGGATCATGACCTGAGCCGAAGGCAGACGCTTAACCATCTGAGCCACCCAGGCGCCCTAAAAATGAAATCTTAAAAAAAAATTTAAAAAAACAAAAAAGAAAAAAAAAACCGTACACATAAAATGACAGCCGTGTCTGGCACATGGTATCTGCTCAGTGAATGTTAGTTGTTAGCAGTAGCAGTTTTGCGATTCTGGAAGCACTGTGGGGATAGTGGAAGAATTGTATGACAGCCACTTTTGACTATTGTTGGCTAAGAGTAGGATCTTACTTTCTCTTGGGTGGGAAAAGCACCACACACAGCCTGTAAGACGGCCTGAAGTCATCTCCCTATTATCAAACCCCATTTCCTTTGTAGTTTCAGTATTCATTCCACAGAAGTGGAGAGAGTTCTTCTACTGAATAGGGTTTCCTTAATTTTCTTTTGTTGTGTCCATTTCTTCCTGAAATGAAGGCTGAATTCTTTAGGGTTATGAATATGTCTTTTAGTTTATTTTATTTAAAAAAAATTTTTTTTTTAAAGATTTTATTTATTCATTTGAGACACAGAGATACAGAGAGAGAAAGCATGAGCAGGGGGAGAGGCAGAGGGAGAGGGAGAAGCAGGCTTCCCGCCGAGCAGGGAGCCCGATGCGGGGCTCGATCCCAGGACCCTGGAATCATGATCTGAGCCGAAGGCAGACGCTTAGCCATCTGAGCCACCCAGGCGCCCCATGTCTTTCAGTTTATTTTAATTCACTTTTTCCTTTGCTCTCATCCCTCCTTCCTTCTTTCCCTCCCCCCCATTATTCACACTTTTCAAATCATTGTAACAAAAATTTCACAGGCCCTGTGCATTTGAAGAATAGAATTATATACTTCATTCCATGGCTTCAGCAGTCCCAGAATCCTCTGACACTGTAGTTGAAGAAAGTATTTTTTTTTTTTAAAGATTTTATTTATTTATTTGACAGAGAGAGACACAGCCAGAGAAAGAACACAGCAGGGGGAGTGGGAGAGGGAGAAGCAGGCTTCCCGCTGAGCAGGGAGCTCGATGCGGGGCTCGATCCCAGGACCCTGAGATCATGACCCGAGCCCAAGGCAGACGCTTAATGACTGAGTCACCCAGGCGCCCCGAAAAAAGTATTTTAAATGATCACCAGACTACTCTTTGGATTGGTGTTTTTGTAGGCAAATGTGACTTAATTGTCCTAGAAGAATTAGCTGTTGAATAAAGGATTTTAATATGGAACTAGGTGAAATTCAGTTTCCTTTCTGTAGCCATCTCCCTTTGATTCTTAGATAACCTTACTTTGTTTCTTTCAATATTTTCTCCAGATTCTCAGATACTTTACGAATTCTGACATGTGACACATCTCAGAATAAACAGAAACGAGTTGACTATTCTAACAGTACCAACACTAAAGGTAATTTTAAGAAAACAGTTTCCTATGAAAATTTAAGGATACAAGTCTATTTTACCTTCAAAATCTTAAATCTTCAGGATTCATATCTACTGATCCTTTAAAACAACTTAGTTTCTATGCAAAATGGAAAATGCGTAAAGAAAAGATATTTTTTAAAGCTTATTCACTAATTTTCATTATATGGTAATTTTGAGGGGGGCAAAAAAAACCCAGAAGAAAATAGATGGTTTGTAGAAAGAAACCCCTATTCAAAGAAAAAACTAAAAGTTCTCTTCCCCTCGGTCCACAGTCACAGATGGGCAGTCACTGTTCGTTTCCACTGAACCCAGCGGAGCTGTCCCTGTATTCTCTCATTCTTTTAATGGCTGCAGAATTTTTTCAAGTAATGTGTATGATCTTCATTCTTTTACTGAAAAACATACAGGCTCTTTCTAACATCCCATGCATTAACTCTCCAGTCAACATTTTTATACACATATTTTGGGCCATCATTTTTTATAAAAGCAAAAAACCAGAAACAATCTAAATGTACAAGAAAATGGGATTGGTGAAATCCTATAACATACTCTGTAGCCATTTAATTTAAATTTATAAAGCCAATATAAAATGGAAAATGTCCATTTATGTTAAGAGAAAAAATAGACTCTAAAATTATTTTGGAGGTGTGATCCCAGGTTCATTAAAAACATTTAATGGATAACATTTTCTTAGGTTTATTTTCTTCTGGTTAACAGTTATTTCTAGGCGTTGATTTGGACTTTATTTCTCTCATTTCTGCTTCAATGTATTTTCCAAAGTTTCTCCAATTATGTACAATCTTTTGTAAGTGAAATATAGGCTTTATTTTAAGAAAAGTAGACAATTCTGTGTTTAAAAATTAAATGACATTTTAAACAAAATACCGTAAATTATTCCAGGAGATTCTTAGATACAAAATATAACTGAATTGTCAGAGCCCTACACCTAAGGATCATGGGAGAACACACCTATAGCGAACAAGTGGAGTTTGGTCCTGGCTTCAGTGTGGAGAACTCCTGCCATGGGGAACTGTGGGGCATCTCAGGAAGAGGGTATTAGGAAAGATTTATTATAGGATGCAGGCTTGAGTTAGGTGCTTTTGAGAAGTGTCTAAGGAGGCGTGGATTTGTTTTGAATTGGGTACTGTCAGAGACGATTCTATGGTTGAATATCTTCGTAAATTTGATCTAGAAGGAAGGCAGAGGGCAGTGGGTGTAAAGCTATAATGGGTAAAGAAGCAGCAATTACTTATATTGGATAAGATGAGAGGTGTTGGTCATTTTTACAGTTTGGAGAACATTCATGTTTTGTCTGCGTTCAGACATGATTACAGAGTGGTCTTGTTTTTGTCACGAGTCATCTTGGCCACAGAGTGGCCTTATCTGATGTTGAAATTCTGTGAGATCATTTCTGAGTAACAGGAAAGCACCGGGGCTGAAGTGTGAGTGACCAGCCTGCTCTGTAATACCACCAAGGCCTAGCTGCTGGTAGTGGGCTGGCTCCTGGGGATAAGGGCTTGCTTTTCTCTTTATCAAAATGAAGAAAGCAGTTGAAATGATTACAGGCGCTTCTTATGAATAGTAGTTCACATTTGACTTAACTGAGAGGTTTGAATTTTCCCTGCTTGCTTGTAAGGCAAGCAAGAACCCATGGCTGCCTAAAAGCCATGGAAACAAAAAAGCTGCAGGGACTCCAAAACCTGTAATTGTCCTAAAGAACAGCTTAACATTTAACTCTTCAACTTTGAGCCACTTTAATTATAATTAATTTTTCTCTCTGTTGCAGCAGAAAACATTGAAGGTTTTCACTGTTCACCCTACCCTGAAATTGATCAGTTCGTTCTTTCTTTGGTGAATAAAAATGGCATTAAAGGAGGTAAAGATAATCTTATTCTTTATTCACTATAATATGACAGAGTTTTAATACCTTTAGAAACATTATTTGCATTTTAGGAATTCGACATTGGAGCTACTTTTTCCCAGAAGAATTACTGGTTTATGATATTTGTAAATATCGCTGGTGCGAAAACATTGGAAGAGCCCACAAGAGCAATAATATCATGTAAGTAATGGTGTTTGCTAACGAGTTCTGGGTATTTAACCAGTATTATTTTAAATGTTTATAATTTTTACAGTTGAATGTAAAAATGATTTTGGTTTTATAATAAATTTAGTTATATCAAATATTGTATTTGGTTTATGTTTTATAATATTAAATTGACTATCTTAATTATCATCTTGCTTTATAGCACATGTCATCTTTATTTGTACTTTATTCAGTAAAATAATCCCTTAGATAGTATAATCTTGAGAAAGACAGACTTGAGCAGTTCTAGGAAGAAATTAGAGGCAATAGGTGAGCGGACAGGGGTGATGAAGTGTCTCTCCCTTGTCTGTTGCCATTGGTCCTTGACATCTTATGGAGTGTAAATTGAAATTGAGCAGATTTGGGTGGAAAGGAAATTATTCAGTGCTAAGAGTTGGAGTTAGTTTAACATGGTCAAGGCAGAGAATGGTATTGGGATGCCTGGGTCATGATCTCAGGGTCCCGGGATTGAGCCCCACCTCCCTCTCTGCTCAGTGGGGAGTCTGCTTCTCCCTCTGTGCTCCCCCCCCAAATAAATAAATAAAATCTTAAAAACAAAAGACAAAGAATGGTATTGAAGGGAACCAATATTTATTGAATGCTTGCTGTATACCCTAGGCCCTGTTTTAAGAGTTTTCTTTAAAATCCCCCTGGCAAAAGGAGAGGAAGTGAAGGATGAAATAGAATTTTAGATAATACAAGGATATGGTGACAATAGGAATAAGACAGAAACCCAGTAGTTATCAGTTATGATATGGGAAATTTTGCTCTGTTTCATATATATGTTTTATATTTAATATCAAAGCTGAGACTTCTGTATATCAATTGTTTAGAGCATGTGTGCCAGACATGAGAAAAGATCCTGAAGCTTTTGCTAGAAAGCTGGAAACATCTTGGGTAGCACCATTTAATGCTATACTTCTATATGTAGATTAGCTCAGTTTAAAAAAAAAAAAAATCAAAAAACTATATGCTCAATACACAAAAGCTATCACATAGAATAACACAAAGCAAAAGCTCCCCCAGAGGGCCAGAACCAGTGATCACTATGGTTATGATTTTGGTATATCTTTCTAGTCTTTTACTCTCTGCATATAAGTTTACCAGAAAATCATTATCATAAGATGATCATCTGTTAATTTTTTGAGATTCTCAGGTCACTACGTATTTCTTCCTGAAAAATTACCTGCTTCTATTATGTATCCATAATCTCTTCTTTTTCTTAACTATGAAATCACCATATGTATAAAAAGCATGTATTATAATGTGTAGGTACACTTCAAAGACTAACACTAAAATGATTACTTGTCCTATCTGCCACCCACCTTCAGAAGCAGAACTTGACCAAATCTCAGAAGCACTTTGTGGGACCAACCCCAGTTTCTTCCTTTGCTCTGACCATCTGAGATAATAGTACCTGTTATCCTGGGTTTTGTGTTAATCTTCCCCTTGCTTTCTTTAAATGTCTTTTTTCCCCATATATATTTATATTTCCAAACAATACATGTTTTTGAATCTTGTGTCAATTGCGTCCTTTGAATTGCTTTTTGGTCAACATTGAATTTGTGAGGTTCATCCATATTGCAACATGTAGTTGCTTATTCTTTTTTTCACTATTGTATAGTACACCATTATATAAATACAAACGTGCCAGTCTGTTTTCCTCCTGTGCACATTTGGCTTGCTAGTATGAACAGTGAAGCTACAGATACTTTGGTACATCTTGCCTGTGGCACATATGTGAGAGTTTCTCAGAGTATTTGCCTGAAAGCAGAATCGCTCTGTCATCGAATATGCACATACTTCATTTTACTAGGTAATAAGTTATTTTCCCAAATGGTCAGTTAATGTATACTCCCACCAGCAGTGTTTTCAGATTTTCTACTGTCCCGTATTCTCACCAACACTTGGTGTGTTAAAAACCTGTTTAGGGGCGCCTGGGTGGCTCGGTCGGTTGGGTGGCTGCCTTTGGCTCAGGTCATGATCCCAGGGTCCTGGGATCGAGCCCTGCATCGGGCTCCCTGCTCAGCAGAGAGCCTGCTTCTCCCTTTCCCTCTGCCTACCACTCTGCCTCCTTGTGCTCTCTATCTCTCTGTCAAATAAATAAATTAAAAACAAAAAAACAAAAAAAACTCTGTTTGGCTGATCTGGTGATATAAGATGATACTGTGGTTTTTCATCTGAATTTACCTGGTCACTAATGAGTATGAGGTTGGATGATCAAACCACACTCACACGAAACAGAGATCTTACCCAATGTCGGGGTTTACGAATACTTTCTAAAGATTCAAGGAATCCAAAGGCACAGGTGAAGCCGACCGAGGCCCACAACACCTGGCTCAGCTCTCCAGGTCCATCCTGCACCGGAGGCTCTCTGTGACTCCGGTCGAAAGCCGAGGCAGAAGTGAGCGGTCACTGCACACGGGGGACACTGAGGTCATGAAACGTGTGTTGTACAGCTCTGTAGTTACATAGCATGTGTGACATTCCCAGGGAACTGTACCTCCTAAATCCACAGAGTAGGTTTATTTACAAATACACAGAAATCAGAAACATCCTGCAGAGCGCCTTCTGTAGGCAGGGACCCTCCACCTAGTGCACAGGCCCACAGGGTCCCAGCCTTCTCCACTCTTGGTGCCCTCTGGATCTTAGCAGCTTTTACACATTTCTCCCAGGCCAGCAGAGATACCTAACAGTTCAGTTTATTAATTTCAAACAGTAAGTAATCATGATCTAACAACTGAGTAGCTATTTGAAAAAACAGTATTCATCAAAGAAAAATTTTTAATTGAGATAGAGTTGACAGCATTACTTTTAGCTGTACAACATAGTGATTTGATATAGGTACACACTGCAAAGTGAGCTCCACAGTCAGTCTAGTTAACATCTGACACCATGGAGTTATAATTTGTTTTTTCTTTCTTTTTTTTTTTTTTTAGATTTTATTTATTTATTTGACACAGAGAGAGATAGTGAAAGCAGGAACACAAGCAGGGGGAGTGGGAGAGGGAGAAGCAGGCTTCCCGCGGAGCAGGGAGCCCGATGCGGGGCTCGATCCCAGGACCCTGGGACCATGACCTGAGCCAAAGGCAGACGCTTAACCGACTGAGCCACCCAGGCGCCCCTCTATTAGAAACTTTCAGATATGCAGTACAGTACCATTAGCTATCGATAGTCACCGTGCTGTACATCACATCCCCATGACTTACTTACAACTGAAGGTTTATACCTTTGAACTCATTCTTTTTTTTTTTAAGATTTTATTTATTTATTTGAGAGAGAGAGACACAGCAAGAGCAGGAACACAAGCAGGGGGAGTGGGAGAGGGAGAAGCAGGCCTCCCGCTGAGCAGGGAGCCCAATGTGGGACTCGATCCCAGGACCCTGGGATCATGACCTGAGCCGAAGGCAGACGCTTAACGACTGAGCCACCCAGGCGCCCCTTTTGAACTCATTCTTAAATAAAAATACTTATTAATGGGGTGTGTGTCCTTCTGAGCATTGCATAATCTCTTAAACCTTGGAATTAGATTGAATGCTGCCACCCCACAGTTATCTCTTACTCCACATTGGTGGTTATGGTCCTTGTTTGTTTGATTGTTTGTTTTTTTAAAGTCCCATGAGTTGTTTTCTGTTTTTTTTTAAGATTTTATTTTTATTTGAGAGAGAGCATGAATAAGCGGGGGGTGGGGAGGAGGCAGAGGGAGAAGCAGACTCCCCTCTGAGCAGGCAGCCTGACGCGGGGCTCAATCCCAGGACCCTGGGATCATGACCTGAGCTGAAGACAGACCCTCAACCAACCGAGCCCCACCCAGGCGTCCCGATTATGGTCCTTGTCATCACAGTCACCACCAAAAACCTCAGCTCTGCAAAGTAGGCCACCACTGAAAGGAGTGAAGCCTGTTACAATACCAAAGCTGTGAACTGTAAACCAGTATTACGTGGGGCGCCTGACAGATGTCAGCTATCACTTTGTTGCCCTAGGAGGATGTAAATATTCTTCATGGCCTGGGGACAGGCTGGTGTACAGTTTGGGAACGGCAGCATTCGGGTGTTTATGAGGATGGTTCAGCTTTTCTGTAACTTTTTAGATTTGCTTAGTTTGGTATCTTTTCATCTAGTACTTTGTCTATTTTACCAAAATTTTTAATGTTATCGGCAGAAATTGTTCCTAATATTCTTAAATTTTTAGTATATTGTGATTTGTTATTACATCTGCACTTAATTTCTTTCTTTCTTTTTTTTTTTTTTTTAAGATTTTATTTATTTATTTGACAGAGAGAGACACAGCGAGAGAGGGAACACAAGCAGAGGGAGTGGGAGAGGGAGAAGCAGGCTTCCCGCCGAGCAGGGAGCCCGATGCGGGGCTCGATCCCAGGACCCTGGGATCATGACCTGAGCTGAAGGCAGACGCTTAACGACTGAGCCACCCAGGCGCCCTGCACTTAATTTCTAATAACATTTGTTTCTTTACCTTATTTATTTTTGATCAGTCTTGCAAGAATTGTATTAGTTTTCACATTCTGGCCTTGTTGGTTCTTTTAAATTTTTGCTTTTTATTACTTCCTGCCTTTTATTTTATTAGGGTTTATTCTGTTGTTCATTTCCCAAGTTAGTTACTTATTGGTCTTTAGCCATTCTTTGTAAATAAGCTTTTAGGATTCTAAATTTCTCTCCAAAGATCATTTTAGTGCTGTTTCACATATTTTAATAGGTATTTTCAATTCCATTCGGTTCCAAACATTTTCTAATTTCCATCATGATTTTTCTTTGAGTAATTGGTTATTTAGAAATTTTTTAATTTCCAAGTTACGGGTTTCTATTAGCTATTTTTGTTACTTCTTTTTTCTTTTAAAGATATTATTTATTTGAGAGAAAGAGAGAGCAAGCACATGAGGGGGCGGTGGGGGGTCGGGGAGGAGCAGAGGGAGAGGGACAAGCAAACTCTGGGAAGCGGAGCCCAATGCGGGGCTTGATCCCAGGACCCTGAGATCATGATCCGAACCAATACCAAGCGTCCAATACTTTACCGACTGAGCCACCCAGGTGGCCTTCTGTTACTTATTTCTAAATAATTTGCTTTGTGGTCAGAGATGTGTGAATACTTTTAAATTTAATGAGATGGACATGGTACCTAGCACAGTCAGTTTTTATAGTTGTTTTTTATGGGTGATTGTAAAGAACTATTTCTAATGATCTGAGGCCGTGTTCATATATGCCTCTTATAGCAAACTTGTTAACTGCTTCTAATTTTATTAAAAAATGCTTTTTAGGTCATTCAAATTTTCTGTACCCTTACTGAATTTTTTGTGATTATTTGTATCAATTACTAAAAGAATGTTTTTTAAAATCTTGATTTATGGTAGACGATTCATTTATCCTTGGAGTCCTGTCAGTTTTGCTCACCCATTCTGAAGCTCTCTCACTTGGTGGGGACAGGTCAGGAATTAGGTCTTCTTGGGAGGAACTTTTGTCAATGTGTATTTTTTTTGCCCTAAAGTCCATTTGGGGTGCTATTTTTCACAACCAGCGTTTTCTTTGGGTTGGTGTATTATTTATTTCCATATTATTTACTTCTTACCTTGTCTTCATCTTGAAGTCTTAGGCACATCTCTGGTAAGCAGCATGTAGATGAATTTTGTTTTCCATCCAGTCTGGGGATTAAGTAATAAATTTTTCCTTTTTTTTTTTTTCCCAATGTAAAGGATTTTGATTGATCTGAAAAATGAAGTGTGGTATCAGAAATGTCATGATCCTGTATGTAAAGCAGAAAACTTCAAATCAGACTGTGAGTTTTTAAGTTTTACATGTATGTCAAGTGAAAAGTGGATCTCTACATAAAAGAGTAAAACTGTTTTTCTTGTTCAGGTTTTCCATTACCTGCTGAAGTTAGCCTCCGGTTTCTTTTCAAAGAGGTGAGTGCAGGTTTGAGTTTCTCTCTCATTCCTAATCCGGTCTCAGTGCGACAGTGTAATTGAGCTTATGCGCCGTGTCCGGACGTGTGCAGAGTTTGTGAACACACTCCTCAGTACGTGTTGTCACTTAGGGGTGTGCCGTGGTGACTATGCCAATGTCCGCACACATCTCGTGTGCGCACGCTCTCACCTGCTGCGCACAAAATTGTGGACACGCCTGTTTGACCACGCCCAGCCAGGGGGCAGGTCTCTCCCTTTTGGCTTTACAAAGGATGCCAAAATACTCATCTTTGTGTTTCTTTCAACAGCTCTGTAGGTAGAATTGCTAGAAGTAGAATTATGTCAAAGGGTGTGTGCATTTTAAATTTTGGTAGATATTACCAGATGGCCCAATTGACCTTGTCACCTTAAAAACTTTTATTTACCCAAATCATTCACATTCGATGTGAGAAAAAATTAGAAAATACATGAAAAACCAAAGGGGATAAACCCCTCCTCAGCTAGAAATTGACCACTCAGGGATAACTGATGTGTTTTGGCATGTATCTTCCAGAATTTCCGTTGATGTGTGCTCACGTATGTATTTTCAAAGTCGCAGTATGCATCCTACTTTATAGGCTTTTTTTTCCTAGTTTTCATGAGAACGTATTACCAATTGGTATCCATAAAAATGGTAGGAAATTAGGCTTCACGAATTTATTTATTTATTTATTTAAATTGTTTTAATTTATTTGACAGAGAGAGACACAGCGAGAGAGGGAACACAAGCAGGGGGAGTGGGAGAGGGAGAAGCAGGCTTCCCGCGGAGCAGGGAGCCCGATGCGGGGCTCGATCCCAGGACCCTGAGATCATGACCTGAGCCGAAGGCAGACGCCTAACGACTGAGCCACCCAGGCACCCCCTAGACTTCACAATATAAGATGGTACCGGTTTACCCTACATTTTTGCCAACATTATTTTTACCTTTTAGTGTTTACCACCTTATTTGGCCAAAAGTGGTATTTTAGCCATTTTAGTTTACATTTCCTAATGTATTGAGGAAATGGAACTTCTTTCAGATTTCCTGTTTGTATTTCTTTTTTTTTTTTTTTTTAATTTTTATTTATTTATTTGACACAGAGAGAGATAGCGAGAGCAGGAACACAAGCAGGGGGAGTGGGAGAGGGAGAAGCAGGCTTCCCACCGAGCAGGGAGCCCGATGCGGGGCTCGATCCCAGGACCCTGGGATCATGACCTGAGCCGAAGGCAGACGCTTAGCGACTGAGCCACCCAGGCGCCCCAGGAGATATTATTTTGAAGTGTAGTCTTTCAAGAACAGTCCAAGAAATTGCTGGTTCTGCAGAGCTGCATTTTCTATGGGAGAGAGAAAATCCAGGATCTTAGGTCAATGACGTGACAAAATGGTGGGTATGCATTTAAAATATAGAGTAGGCTCAGGGAAAGGAGGCTTCTTTTTTTTCCTTTTTTTAAAAGATTTTTTATTTATTTATTTGACAGCGAGAGACACAGTGAGAGAGGGAACACAGCAGGGAGGAGTGGGAGAGGGAGAAGCAGGCCTCCCGCCAAGCAGGGAGCCCGATGCGGGGCTCGATCCCAGGATCCTGGGATCATGACCTGAGCCGAAGGCAGACGCCTAACGACTGAGCCACCCAGGCGCCCCCTGTTTGTATTTCTGTTATCGATTGTCGGTAACTGTGCTCTATCCACTTTTCTCTGAGGTCTTGTTGATAATTTATGAGAACTTTTTATTAACTCTTTGATCATGTTATTTTCTAGACTGAACATTTTAGTGTTCTTTTTTCCCACATCTATCAGCCTTTTCCTTTCTAGTGTTCTGGTTAGAATAAAAGTTACCTGCTACAGGCTGATTAAGTGCTCAGTTTACATTCTAGATAATGGTCTGCTGCCTATTCGATTTGACTAAAAAATACCTCTGGATATTTGCCAAAACACATGGTAGGAACTGGACCAACATAGCTGATAACCAGATTCCCTGGTAAATGATTAGGTTAAAAAGTGTTCTTGAAATAACCAAGAGAAAATTAAATTTGTAAAAATAAACTTTGCCTCTAAGAGGAGGAGGTATATGTCATCCTTGTATGTTTGGAGTCTTATTTTGAAGCATGTTTGTGGTTTTAGTGGATTTTTAAAAATTACCTTTCCTGCTTATCCAGTAGTACCTCAAAAGTGCCAAGTTGAAAGTTGTTTTGGTACATAGTATTACCACTGCTTGGACAGAACTTTTTTTTTATTATTTAAAATAGAAAATTAATAAAAGATGGAACAGCTTCATGAATACCCATGTACTTGTCACATCGTTTTAACAGTGTATATTTTGTCATTTCTGCTTCCTCTGGCTTTTTTGCTTTTAGTATTTTAAAATGAATTACCCATCAGTGTTAGTTACCTGGCTTTCTGTTGCATTAATCATCTCTGTTTTTTAAACATTTCTATTTTTTTTCTCTTCCCTATAGCAGTGTTCCCCAAGGACAGTGGGCTCTCCCTTCACCTACATTTGCCATCGTTAACATGTTGCTTGGCCACATTTGTTTTCCCCCTCTCCTGTTCGGTCGGGCGCACACTGTTATTTTGGATGACTTTTTGTCTTAGTCCATTCAGGCTGCTATAAGACAATACTATAGACTGGATGGCGTAGACACCACAGAAGTTTCTTTCTCACAGTTCTGGAGGCTGGGAGTCTGAGCTCGGGGCACTGGCCGACTTGGTGTCTGGTCAGCTCTCTGGGTCATAGCTCTCTCCTCGCTGGGCCCTCCATGGGCTGAAGGAGCTCTCGGGGGGCCTCTTCATACTTAAGCATGTAGCTAGAGAGATTTAAGTTAAGGATATTCTTGAGTATGGTACCATTTTTAGATTCAGGAAATTTAATGTTGATACAATACTGTTACCTAATATACAAATCCATACTCCTCTATCTTGACAATTGTCTCAACTGTTCTTAACAGTTTTTTAAATTCATGTTAATTCTTAAAATACTTTATAAATAGGAAAATCAGTCTTTTAAGATAGCAGATAGGTTTTCCAGTTTGCCTTCAGCTGGACTATCTGCTTTTTAAAAAATTCAGTCTACCATCTCTCTAGCCCCATCTGTGTATATGGAAAAGAATGTACCAGAGGAACGGGACGGGGGGGAGGAGGGGGAACGGACTTCCAAATTTAGAGCTTCGAGTGTCTGAGCTACAGTGGCAGTGACATTTGAATTAATGAACTCATTCCCATGGCGACTGTACTGGAGAGAGTATCATCCAGAGTATTTATTTTAGTGTCTGCTCAAGACCCGGTCTTATACCGAATACTTTAGTTTAACACAGACTGACTGTAGAGTGAGAGCATCACGTAGTCTCCTTGACTGACCTGTATTCTCTCCCTTTCCCGCTCCCCCCCCCCCCCCCCGCCGCCTTCCCCTTTCAAACGAAAGGAAGAAGAGTTCACAGCAGCTGAAACAATGAGCAGTGACACCAAGAGTCCTCATAAGCCACCGTCGGGTCTGTTGTCAGAAGGTGCCATTTCCGACGCCGACTGGGACAATGGCCTTGATGAGCCTGACTTTGTGGAAGCTACTGAAGATGCTGAGCTAGCCGCAGCTGCCGAGTGTGGTCTGCTCGGTTACTACAGCGGAGATGGTGAAATTCCCGATGAACTAATCATGCGGGTATTGCAGGAGTAGCTCTTGCGTAACCGGCTGTGCTTTGGCCTGAAGACAGTTTTAGTAACCTGAACATACTAAGTTATAGTAACTTGTTATTAAACCTGTTTATAGGGCGCCTGGGTGGCTCAGTTGGTTAAGCGACTGCCTTCGGCTCAGGTCATGATCCTGGAGTCCCTGGATCGAGTCCCGCATCGGGCTCCCTGCTCGGCAGGGAGTCTGCTTCTCCCTCTGACCCTCCTCCCTCTCATGCTCTCTGTCTCTCATTCTCTCTGTCTCAAATAAATAAATAAAATCTTTAAAAAAAAAAAAAAAAAAATAAACCTGTTTATAAAAACCAAGTTTGATCACTTTGCTTCTCAATTCCTGTTTTTTACTGAAGTAAGCCAGTTTTATTGAAAATTAGCTTAGAGGGGCGCCTGGGTGGCTCAGTTGGTTAAGCGACTGCCTTCGGCTCAGGTCATGATCCTGGAGTCCCGGGATCGAGTCCCGCATCGGGCTCCCTGCTCGGCGGGGAGTCTGCTTCTCCCTCTGACCCTCCTCCCTCTCATGCTCTCTCTCAAATAAATAAATAAAATCTTACAAGTAAAAAAAAAAGAAAAAAAAAAATTAGCTTAGAAATCTTATTGATTGACCAGAGGTGGTCTATGTTCATATCAGCATAATTCTGCATGTCTGGCGATAGGTTAAAACTCTTAATCTTATTTAAAAAATTTTTAATTGAAGTATAATTGACATACAGTATCCTACTCAGGTATATATCCTTCTGATTCGCTATCTTTATATGTTACAATCCCCGTGATAGGTCTAGTTACCGTCTGTCATCACACCAAGTTATTACATATTACTGTATATTCCCTATACTGTATATTACATCCTCATGACTTATTTTATAACTGGAAGTTTGTACCTCTCAGTCATCTTCACCTGTTTCACCCCCTCCAATCCCTCCTCCTCCTGGCAACCAGCAATTTCTTGTATCCAGGAGTCTGTTTCTGTTTGGTTTTATAGATTCCACATATAAATGTAGTCATATGGAATTTGTCTTTGACTTATTTCACTCAGCATAATATATTCTAGTTCAGTCCATGTGGTTCCAAATGCCAGGTTTTTATTCTTCTTTATGGCTGCGTAATATGCCTGTGTGTTTGTGTATACTCCTCGTTTTCTTGATTCCTCTGTCAGTGGACACTTAGGTTGCTTCCACATCTTGGCTGCCTCAGGAAACAATAATGCTTCAACAAACATATGATACATTCCTTTGCACTACTGTTTTCGTTTTCTTCAGATAAATACCCGAAAGAAGGGGGATTACTGGATGGTATGGTATTTCTAAGTTTTTGAGGAACCTCCATACTGTTTTCCCCAGTGGCTGCACCAACTTACATTCCCACCAACAGTGCACGAGGGTTCCCTCTTCTCTGTAGCCTCACCAACACTTATTTCTTACCTTTTTGATAATAGCAATCTGATGGGTGTGAGGTGCGATACTCACTTTTGTTTTTGTTTTTTAAAAATTTTATTTATTTGAGAGGGAGAGCACGCACATGAGCTGGGTGGAGGCGCGGAGGGAGAGGGAGAAGGAGACTCCCAACTGAGCAGGGAGCCCCATACGGGGCTCGATCCCAGGACCCTGGGATCATGACCTGGGCCGAAGGCAGTCGCTTAACCGACTGAGCCACCCAGGCGCCCCTTCATTATGGTTTTGATTTGTGGTATCGAGCCGTCTTTCACATGTCTGTTGTCTATGTGTTTATCTTTTCTGGAAAAATGTCTGTTCAAGTTCTCTGCCCATTTAAAAATTTTTTTTATATTGTGTAAGTTCTTTATATATTTTTTATATTAACCTCTTACAGAATGTATGATTTACAGATATCTTTTCCCTTTCTGTAGGTTGCCTTTACATTTTGTTGTCCCTTTGCTATGCAGAAGCTTTTGAGTTTGATATAATCCCATTTGTTTATTTCAGCCTTTATTGCCCTTGCTAGAGAGACTGGTCCTCTGGAAAAAACAACAAAAACAACATAGATATAGAGAAGGAGGGGGTGTAAGGGCTGAGGGAGAGGGAGAGAGAGAATCTTAAGCAGGCCCCATGCCCAGCACAGCGTCAACATGGGGCTCGCTTTCACAACCCTGTAATTTTCTTTGTGATGTCTTTGTCTGGTTTTGGTTATCAGTTATGCTGACCTTGTAAAATGAATATGGAAGCATTCCTTCCTCTTCAATTTTTTGGAATAATTTGAGAAGAATAGGTACTACCTCTTCTTTAAATGTTTGGTAGATTTTACCTGTGAAATCACCTGGTCTTGGGCTTTTGTTTTTTGGGAGTTGTTAAATGACTGATTCTGTTTCATTACTTGTAATTGGTCTATTCAGATTTTCTATTTCTTAGTGAGTCTTAGAAGGTTGTGTATTGTTAGGAATTTATCCATTTCTTCTAGGTTGTCCATTTTGTTGGTGTATGATTGTTCTTAGTAATCTCATGATTATTTGAATTTCTATGGTGTCAGCCATTTCTGACTTTATTGGTGCCCTTCTCTCTCTTTCTTAACGAGTCTGGCTGGTTTTATCAGTTTTATCTTTTCAAAGAACCGGCTTTTAGTTTCACTGATCTTTTCTATTCTTTTTTTTATTCTCCATTTATTTCCCCTGTGATGTGTATTATTTCCTTCCTTCCCCTAACTTTGGGCTTTGTTCGATCTTCTTTTTCTAGCTCCTTTAGGTATAAAGATTGTTATTTGGGACTTTTTTTGCTTCTTGAGGTAAGCCTGTAGCACTATGAACTTTCCTCTGAGAACGGCTGTTGCTGTGCCCCCTAGATTCTGGAAAGTTGTTTCCATTTTCTCTGCCCCACGGTAATTTTCAGTTTCCTCTTCGATTTCTTCATTGATCCACTGGTGGTTCAGTAGCAGGTTGCTCCCTCTCCACATTTGTATTTTTCCAGTTTGCCTGAATTTGAGACAGGTGATCTTTCTTGGAGAGTACTCCATGTGCCCTTTAAATGAATGTGTGCTCTATAGTTTTGGGATGGAATGTTCTGTATGTCAAGTCCCTCCGGTTTAATGTGTCATTTAAGGCCAAGGCTTCCTTATTGATTTTCTGTCTGGATGACACTGATTTAGTGGGAGTTTAATATTAAAGTCCCATATTATTATTGTTAATTTCTTCCTTTATGTCTGTTACCTGCTTTGTGTTTAGGTGTTCCTGTGTTGGGTACATAGATGTTTACTAATGATGTTCTGTCCTCTTCTTCTTTTTTTTTTTTTTTAAAGATTTATTCATTTGACAGAGAGAGACAGCGAGAGAAGGAACACAAGCAGGGGGAGTGGGAGAGGGAGAAGCAGGCTTCCCGCGGAGCAGGGAGCCCGACGTGGGGCTCGATCCCAGGACCCTGGGATCAGGACCCGAGCTGAAGGCAGACGCCTAACGACTGAGCCACCCAGGCGCCCCCTGTCCTCTTCTTGTATTGACCCCTGATCATAATGTAATGTCCTTCTCCGTCCTTTGTTACAGTCTTTGTTTTAAAGTCTATTTGGTCTGAGTATTGCTACACTAGTTTTTTTTTCCATTCCATTTGCGTGGAATATCTTTTTCCATTCCTTCGCTCTCAGTCTGTGTTTAGGTCTGCAGTGTGTTTCTTGTAGGCAGCGTATGAATGGGTCGGTTTTTAAATCCATTTAGCTACACTTTGTCTTATGATTGGAGCATATCAAAACGCCATTTTGTTAACCATTTTCTGGTTGCTTTTGTTGTTCTCTGTCCCTCTTGTCTCTTGGCCCCTTCCCTGTGGTTTGATGGTTTTGTTTTTGTTTTTTTTTTAAAGATTTTTATTTATTTGACAGAGAGAGACACAGCGAGAGAGGGAACACAAGCAGGGGGAGTGGGAGAGGGAGAAGCAGGCTTCCCGCGGAGCAGGGAGCCCGATGCGGGGCTCGATCCCAGGACCCCGGGATCATGACCTGAGCCGAAGGTAGACGCATAACGACTGAGCCACCCAGGCGCCCCTGATGGTTTTCTTTAGTGTTTGGGTTCCTTACACGTTATTTTGTCTATTTTAGGGTTTTGGTTATCATGAGGTTCATATACCTGTTTATAACAGTCTATTTTAAAATGATAGTCACTTCTAGTCCTTGGTGGGATAGCCGGGGCTAGCCTGGGCCCAGGCAGTCCCAGGGTCCTCTGTGCCGGGGGACGGGGGCCCAGACGCTGCAGTGGGCACGGGCCAGAGGGTCCTGGTGTCCTCTGCCCTCGCACTGCCCTGGGACTAGCTGCAGCTGGGCTGTACACACTGGGCCGGGGGGGTCCCGGGGGTTGGCTGGAGCGGGCGGCGGGGAGGTCCCGGTGCACACGGCCCTGCAGCTGCCAGCCCCAGAGGAGAGGTCCGAGGGCCCGGAGCCCGCTCCAGTCAGGCTCCCAGGCAGAGGGGGACAGTAAGTAATGGTGCCCGTCAGCCCCCTCAGCCCCACACGGTTCTAGCAGTTTCCCAACAGCCTGGCGCATGTTCTGAGGTTAGTCAATGGGTTTCCTTCACTGACAAGTCTCTTTGTCCTTCAAAGTGCTGTTTTGTTTTGGGGTTTTTTTTTGCTCTGCCCCCCCAGTGCTAGTCCTCGTGCGGGCCGTCGCATCAGGGCTGGGGTTCCCGCCGTCACCCCGTGTCCATCGCTCCCCCTTCTCTCTCCACGGGGCCCCCCTGGCGTCAGCACAGCAGCGGCTCCGTCAGGCCTCGGGTGTTGTTGAGGAGGAACTGCTCCGCGGGCAGCTGGAGATCCGGTGGGTTCAGGGTCCTGCCCCATCTCAGAACTCCGGACGTGCGACAGGGCAGAACGCTTGGTGGTCAGCGTCTGATTGGCTAGTGTCTGGATCTGGCCTCTCAAGCTGCTTACACACTCCAGCTGGCCACTTAACATGGTCACTCAAAGCAAATGACTAGGAGCCAAGTGATAAATTTGGGTGACAAGCCAACCTGAACAAGCAGACAAGTTTAACTTCTCCAAGAATTTTTATTTACAAAAGTATAGTATCAGAAGACGACAGGCAAGAGCAGGGGGACTAGTCTTTACATAGTCACATTCCAGTAGACTGGTCTTTCTGGTCAAGGAGCTTCTCTAATTGATGGTTGATATTTTGTAGGTGGTTTTCAGCTCCCAGAAGGGTTCTCGCTCTGAGTAACAGAGCTGGAAGGCTGGATGAATCATACTGTTGAAGGAAAATTATATTTAGATTAACACGCATAAAAAAACTTTTATAGCCCTATCTGTTACACAGCTCGATGCTAAGTAGAGCGTTTCATTAACTTTCATTTTTTAAATTAGGATCATTTTTTAAAAAGTTGATTTAATCCTTTTCCTTAGGGCATAATTAATTAATAAGGTTACAAGGGAACTGCTCTAGAAAGCTTATGCTGATCTCCTCCCAGAAGACCAGTTGGTTCCAAGAACAGTGGCATCTAAATTATTTAAAACAAAATTATTCCTCGTACAGATCGAGGCTTGGTTTGGGCAAGTCTGCTGATCTCATGCCTATTTTAAACCCAGAAAACGGTAAGGCAGATTAACTTTTACTGGAAGAACTAATGGAAGGAGAATACCAGGCCCATAAAAGGTCACGAGGGAAAAAGTCGTCTAGAAAAATTTATGGGGAAGACTGAAGACAAAATTAGAATACAAACCCAACATAAAATAGAAATCAAAACCCAACTCATGATTTTGAAATAACAAAGCCAAGCTTCATGTTGTAAACTGTATCTAAGGACGAGGGACTATATTCCCCTTACAGAATTTGCTCATACTTAGGATAACCATTTAATTTCATTTTTTAAGGTATTTTCCTTAGTAATGAAAAGAGCAGCTTTGCGCAGAAAAGCTATGCAACTATGACTACCACTCACATAATCCATTCTTTCTAGACTCTACCCTACCCTATTACTATGGACTTCAGTCAAACAGGCATTTGGAAGCCTACTGTATTCAAGCTGCCGTGGGACACTTGCTCTCAGGGAGGCGTGAGGGGTAGGACTCACATTTGGGGTTAGAGCTCTGGCTTAGGAAAGAAGACAGATACCCAAATGCCTACTTTCCACAAAGGCAGACAGACACTACAAGAGAGCACAGAAAGCCTACGGGCATGCGAAGGACACGTTAGTACGAGTAGTGTATTCCGAGCAAAGTCGAGTCCCCAGGTCTCTGTTTTCACCAAAGTTATGTTCAAATTCAAGAAGTGCTAAAATCATCTCCAAGTGAGTAACCGAATCCCCAACTCCAAGCAAGCTTTAGACTAGTTGGGTCCTGTCACAGAAAACATTAATCTCAAAGCATTCTATTTTCAGATCTAACATACAAACAAACTGAAGGCTTTTAAATCAGTGTAAAAAAAACCTTAGAAGTGAAGAATACAAGTATGATCATAAGATATATGTATTTACATTTTATATAAAATTATTGTTTTTTTTTTTTTTTCCCTGTAACTTAAATTTCTTATTGATCTGAGCTGGTTATTGTAACAACAGCATTGTCTGCAGCAAAAATCTGGAAGCAACAAGTTTTATTAGAACAATAATATACCACGCCTTTCCCTACTCTATGTCTCTTTTCATGTTTCCCAATTAGACCTACCATGCATAGGGGATAATGGCCTGTTTCCAGATAAAAAAAGCTACTGTGAACACGGGCAGAACAAAGAACAGGTCCGTGTGGCCTGACAGGGATGACGATTCTCATGAAGCAAAGCACAGTTGTTCGAGCACTCTCCTGTTCAGTCATTTCTCTTTAATAAAATCAGCGTTTCTAGATTGTTCTCTATTCCTCTAGCCTGAAGT